GATGTCCTCTGAGCAGAACATTCCTCTTTGGGCAAGGTGCAATACTTCGGTGAAAAAAAAACAGCTAGACTGTGAATGTGTTAACATACAAATATATTATACTACTTAATACTTATGTACTTATAAGTAAATGGAATGTAAAAACAACAAATATTTGAATTTCTTTTCAAATGTAATGTAGGTACATGTTTTGTAAATTCGTTGAGTTTTTTAAACGCTTGTCTACATAATGGTAACTACTCTGTAGACTGTAGAGCTATCAGTCGATTTTTTTCCATATATAAATCTAATGTATTCTAAAGTACCTACCAATGCAGTGTAATATAATTTAGAATATACATGAATTACCCGTTTATACATATATTTATGAACTTCTTTCAATTATTATAGTTTATAAACAATATAAATGTTTTTAGTGGCTTATTCACATAAATTACCATTATTTATCATTCACTTTGGACAGATCGTCGAAATATACATCGGAAGGGCCTTATAATATTAATACTTCCTGTTAAATATCGATTGTCCACACTACCCTTGCTAAATTAAACAAACGCTATAAATTAATACTGTCGCCTATTTTAGTTGTTAGATATTATACCGTATAAAAGATTTTTCAATCCTTCTTATTCGTATTTCCACACTGGCGTTGTTTATATATTGTTAAGAATTGAACACATGTACTTCATGTTGTTAATTTTACAAAAAAAAAACCCCATAACTTAAGTAATTAAATAATATAACAATTATGGAATTTCATATTTGATACCTACTACATTTAAACTTTAAAGTAATTATCACCATGAATCAGTTGAAGAATATAATATTAGTTATACGCCCATTAAGAGGTACAAATGTAAAAAACAATTCCCCTAAGTTGTTCAAATAATTGTTTGGGGAAGACAATGCACTTTACTAAGGGCATAATCGTTTTGATGCTATAACCACATCTCGTAGAAAATGAACGAGACATTAATGCCATTTTATATGGTACTTACCAATTCAATTATCAGATAATGAATAATTGTAACTTAAGTGAAAACTAATAGGTAGTGCACAAAATGTGAAAAATATAAGCAGGAAAATAAATAATGAAATTATTAATTCTTGTGATGATATAATTACACCTGGAATCGTTAGGAAAGTAAGTCAATAGTAGCAAATTATTTTCACTGATAGAAGATAAAACAAAAGGTAGGTATGAATCAATCAATGCATATATTGTACTCTTAATTTTGATTTAAAATATAAAATAGTAAAAGTACCGCCTATTCTTTTCAAAAAAATTTCCAGTTACAAAAGTAAGAGGAAATGAAAATATTTGTAAGAAAATTAAATTATATGAAAATGTATATGCTATATAATATAAGAGGTCAAAGTTACTATCATACTAAAATGATGAGTGGTAAATTTGTATATGACTAACACCATTGTTATATAATAATTTGTTAAAATATAATCTATTCATAAATCATAATATAATTATTTACCAATACCAATATATGATATTATTATTCAAACTCTTGAGTATGTCGACAAATTGTTCAGTCGAATACAGTCACTTAAGAAATAATGTCGATGTTAAACATTTTTCCAACTATATATAAGAACTTAAAAAAGCAAAAGATTTCGACTTAGAGATTAAAAAAAAAGAAAAACATACGAACCGACGTACTACCCAAGTACTTACTTAATAGTACGCCTCAAAGTTATTTGAAAGCATTTATATAATATATTGTATCCATTTCCTAGAATAATTAATCAACCAAATAGGTTAAAGATTTATGAAACATAAATAAATAATTCAAGGATTTCAAAAGTATTTTCTAGTGGCTTTTCTTACTACTGTTCAACAAGAAAAACTAGTACCTACTAAATTTTTCTGAATTTTGTTGAGGAATATTAAAATGCATCACACGTTTTATACGTTGTTAATACTTGCTAGCACCGCGTTTTAAAATTTGATGACCAAAATAAAATTGAAAATTTATAGGTTACTCATTTTCATCTTAATTATTAATTGCAATAATTTCTTATAACCTGACGCTCATGCACTTTAAACAATTCTTTTTTATATTACCAGTAACATATTGTGAAGAGGAAAGGTAATTTTCAATTTTAAGATAACTTAAAACTTATCTCAAAAACTCAATTTTAGGATGTAGGCTCAATTGTATAGCAGCTTAAATATCCACCGTGAAATTGCGTGCAGGCTGTGATAATCATAAAGGAACCAACTTAGAAATAACAATAATTAGATTTGTTTCATAAAATATTCATTATATTTTCATAAAAAAATAAAAATTTCAGTTTTACCCACACATATTATTTATCATAATAATATTTATAAGTTTACTGTACTGAGTACATTCCTCTCTAAAAATCGTTGTTGCATTTCCGAGTCTTATTGGAATATATTATAAGAGGAATGGTTATACTATATTTTGGTTGGGGGTATGGTGTTCCAACTTATCAGGGGTAGGGATCGTAATTTAACATATAAAATAATTAAATATTTAATTTAATTTAAAACATATGGATACCATTCGATATGACATTTCAATCTCAAATCAAAGGCTTATTTTCGAATTATCGTAGTTTAACTTATATTGCTTTGATAAAATTATCGGTACTGGTGGTCAATTGTCAAAGCAGACATTTGCAATAGCCTCAATAGTATGTTTTAAAAAATTGTAGCATAAAAACGTTTTAATTTTGATTCATATATTCGGATATTCTCTAGTTTGATACAAAAATGTCTCCATGCGAAATTTGGAGGTAAGATGATAGTTATTTATTTATTTATTTATTTATAGTAAGTAAGTATGTCTTCATAAATTTCAACATTAACCGTTAAAAATATATAATACATAACTATTTCAAAGAAAATAAATAAGTAGGTAAAAACATTAAATAAATAAAAATAATAATAAATGGTTAGAATGAATATTTAATATTTAGTTTCACTTTTATATTTATTTTTTAAAATAAGTTTATATTATAGAAGCTACTGTGTATCATTTGCCATTTAAATTTTAGCAATGATACATACAATGTGATCTAACCATTTAGATGGTTATATTATGACTACAAATCATAAATACTATGTTGAAAGGTCTTTTCGGCAAAAGAGCAATCATTAAAATGTATGAAATTAGACACCTTCATATCGTTTTGTTATGAATATATGAAAGTTGTCAAAGCTTCTTACGAATAATCTCAGCTTATGGCCAAACAAAATAAAGCCCATAAAATTGGAGAAACCCTAGCGAAGTCGTGTATATGTGGACTGAAAAAATATTGTTTTTGGCGAAGCAGGTAGGTAGATATAAAATAAATTATCAACAATTTATCTTTCGACTAAAACATTAAAACAAAGAATCGATGAAATGGCAGATGATTTGAAAAAAATAACTTTCGGGAAAATTAAAACTCTCTCCATTTTGGGCTTTTGATGTGATGAAACTACTTATATACCTACCTAACTCATTGTTGTCAAGTATTATTTTTATTTTTTTTTATTGTTGACACTATTCAAGAAGAAGTGCTTAGATCGAAAGAATTTTCCACTACATCAAGAGGTTGAGATTTATTTAAAATACTGCGCGTGTTATTTTCAAAATTACATTATCAACCAGATATCCAACCATCTAGTTAATGAAAGGTGTATGAACCAATAGTGTATTTGCATAGTTGACAATGACACAATATTTCTCACGATTGTTCAGCGTATAAATTCTTATATTAGAAGACGAATGATAAAATATGATGTTGTCTATCTTTCGAACGCGTAAATCACTTGGAATACACGCATGGTAGGAATAACAATAATACAGTGTATAATCTATAAGATTTTGTTTTTAAGGTTTTTATCTGTGGAAAATCGCTTTATACTATCAAACTTTAATAATATTGATTCTTTTGACTTATTTCAAAGTGAGATATTATAATATAATTGTTTCTATGCTGCACTATCCGTCATGCCACTCAATTTGCGACTGAAATACCAAAATTATTATCCGATGAGTCAAAGTTTTGTCATCGAACCTGCCACTTTATTAGTTTATTCCGATTTGAAAAATAACGAACTGTATCGATTTGGCCGAAATTAAAATATTTACCCCGTGTCACACGGATGAATGACCGCGTTGGATAATTAGGGTATCGTGTTCACTTTGAAGGTATTTTTGACTATAGGCCTCGAGTGGATTGGACGGTACGAGCTTCAAGTAGTTTTCGGGGTAGAAGTGAGAATGTAGGGCGACGGTCGACACCCCGACGTACCTAATTTGAATTTCTACCAACAACATCTTGAGGTTAGAATAATACGTGTGACTCGTGTGGGTTGTTGAGCTTAAATAATTATATACACATATCGCACATCCCTATCGTGGTCGGAGCCTGTGATTTTCGTATACTTTTTGAATGACGTATCGTATGCATCAAGAGCATAATATAAGACGACGTTTTACAGTTCGTCCGGTGGCTGATTTCTCGATTGTTCGTATATAGTTTATAACCGATAAATAATAATGTTACAGCATCGCAGTGAGGTATTCGCGTGTGGATATACGAAGTGATTACCTACATCAGCGGTTCTCAACCTGTGGTACGCGTACCACTAGTGGTACGCGGAGAGCTCATAGGTGGTACGCGAAGAAAATCTTCCTTTATAAAAAAAATTGGTACGAATTATTATTAACATTAAATATTATTTGGTTTATTTAATGTTTATTTGATGGTGTGGAGTTCGTTTGTAATCGTAGCAATTAAGATAACGATATTCTCTTTAATATAATATAAATCGATAAACTTTATCGGATAAGCCCGACAAAGCGTATTCTTATTTCACAATTATGTGTTTTTACCTTAGTTTCGTGAGTTCCTTCGGTTTATTCACGAGTGGCATACGCGTTGTTTGCATCAAGTGTATTTTATATTAAAATTTTATATTTTTATGTACTTTTTTCGTACTTTTTTTTGATATAAAATTTAATAAAATGAAAAGATTTTTAGAAAGCGAAAGCGCAAATACTAAAAAACAGAAAACACAGGCGAATCGTAAATATGACGATAGTTACTTACAATTTGGATTCGTTGTAAAATGTGGTTCTGAAAACTCTACTCCGTTACCTCAATGTGTAATTTGTCAAGAAACACTTTCAAATCAAAGCATGAAGCCATCGCTACTTAAGCGCCACCAATTATCGAAGCATCCAGAAACAGAAAATAAACCCATTGAATTTTTCCAGAGAAAATTAACTGCATTCCGAAAGGAATCGAAATGCATGTCTAGTTTTACAAACTTTAATGAAAAGTTTTTTTCTTTCTGTGCATTACTCAATTAAATACTTTATTTTTTATTACATATTTTTATATTTTATATTATCTCATTTTGTAATTCCTATTGAAATAAAATTCTATAGATACATATAACATAAACGTATACATTATTAATAAGCAAAAAAAAAAATGGTCAGGTGGTACGTAAAAATTTTCAAATTGTGTAAGTGGTACGCGACTATAAAAAGGTTGAGAACCGCTGACCTACATCACGCGCAACAGTTAACTCGCACAATCGCAGAATTTCATACAATATAGAGAACAGATATATAGACGAGTCGAAGACACTCCCCTGGAATAAGGACATGGGTGAACTGAATGTGTGATCGTGTACCCCATGCCGGTCTGTCGATGTAGTCTGAAGGCATTACGACGTGTCGATTTCACATAGATAGGTGGCGCCGTGTAGTCGATGGAATTTTATGATTTTATTATCCATAATACGCCTGCCTGCTGTGTTGGCACGCGCAAAACAAATAATATCTCCGTTTTAATCAGAAAGAAAACTGTATAAGAGGTGTCCATTATTGTATTGTTATTTAAAGAAGCAAAAAATAAAAAAAAATATACATATTAAAGAACTTACAGTATAGTATATATACTAATACAATACACTTTACGAGGAAATAAAAAACAATTTCACAGAGATTGTTTAAAAAATACGCGGCAGGTGCCTGTTTATTGGATCCGAATTTTAATTTGAATTTTTTAGTAGAATTGGTCCTCCCGCCTCAGTGTTGTTCATAACGTATATTATATTCGAATTTGTATTCTTTATGTTACGTTAAATTCAATATTTAAAAAAAAAAATGTACAGCACGTAAATGTTCTAATAACAATTATTACAATACCAATATTTATAATATGCATTAATCTTTGTAAACAAAATCACTAAAAAAATGTATACTTTAAAGTGGTATAACATGATTCAAGACTAACGGGATACATAAAATAACATATATTATGAGCTTATTATCTTCAACTGATGAGTGATGGCTGTATCTATGCCAATTGCTTGCAATTGATCACAAGGCAATCCACAAACACATCGAGCATATTATAAATCACTACATTTTAAAGGTAGGTACACAGACGTGATTTTAAAATCAACGGCAGTTTAGTTAGTGAAATGATCACTCCGCATCTAACATACATTTAGAATTCATTAACTAATGGACTGATTAAAACACTAAAATTACATTTAATAAAACATAAAACGGTAGTTCAAAGTGATTTGTATGAAGGTATCTTATGTATATAATATTAGGTACCTACTCTTAAGTTACTTTTCTAGGTACCTATAGAGTAATGAATTCGTTTTTTTGAAGTAAATGGAATTTATTTATGAATTGAAACTGATGATTGATATAATATAGTTATCACTTTGTTTAATTGCTATTTATTAATTTGTTTTGATAATATTAATATGATATTTCAAGCGAAAAAAATACATTAAGTATATAATTAAATAGATTGTATTATACATTTTATTTTACCAGAATACAAACACATAATAATATGGTTTATTAAATCTAAAATGCACAACACTTTATTGTCTGTGTTGTATCTCAGTTTTCTTGATATATTTAAACACAAAATATTATTCAACTTAAATCTTAATTAAATACGTTTAAATTCATCCGTTAGTTTCTCGCTTTTTAATGTTCAGGAACACAATTCAACGTTTTTTTTAATCTCTAAAAAGAGAGTATTACTTGAATATTCATATTCAAAGATATCATTTTACATAAAGCTAAAGAATATTCAGTTTTCCATATTTTTCTTAAAATATGCATTTTGTTCTTACGAAATTTATATTGTGTATATAATATACAGGCTATACAGCGAAAAGCCAAACTTTGTTTACACATTATTAATAAACAACGTGTTATTATTTTTGTTATTTTTTTTTATAATTCCTCGATTTTAGTTCAATTTCAAAGTTAATAAGAACTACAGTAGCTTTATTCGTAGATAAAATATTTTATATTTGTTCCTAAATAATATGAACGATTCCACATTTTATATTATGCGCTAAATAGTTTAATTTATAAGTAATAGCGATTCAGAGTGTTCCAATTATAATCTAAATTACCTACCTACTATGCTAATTATTTTAAAAATAAAACATTATTTTTGTATTATTTGTACCTCAAAATAAATAAATATCATGACGTATAGCGCGGAAGTAAAAATATGTTGAACCTTTTCTGAATATCAATATTTGTATAATATTGTATACTATATTACTTATAAACATAATATAGTCGTTATAGATACTTAAATATATAAATAAATATGAGTTAAATATTATTTAGTGGTATACAAAGATGCATATGTAATCAGTGGCGTATACAAGGAGGGGTTTGGGGGTCAGATCCCCTCCCACTGGCTTTGGAGTGGATAATCTTCCATATTGTGTTTGATGTGAATTATGAATCAATTCAAATTATATTCATTGTTCCTTATAGTTAAATTTTTTTGTTAAGGTGGGGGATTTCGCAATTTCCCCCTCCCATTTCGCTATGATGTTTTATTTTTTGACCCCCCCACCTTTAAGAAATAAAGTCTACGCCACTATATTATGTAATAGGTGTAGATACTTAATCATTTTTATAAACTGTAATAAGAATATGCAATTAGAAAAATTGTACTTAATCAGATAGGTAATCAAAATATTTATAATACTGTCCATATATTACTATAGTAGGTACCTATCCTACACGTGACACTGTCGAAACCTCGTCAGTAATTTTTTTTTAACCACATAAAACTATACGTTTTCTTCAATCTGATTTTTGAAAACCATTAGGTAACCATTGGATAGCTAAGTTTTATTTATTTAAAATTTAAAAAATCAAAATATAGCAAACATTTTTTATACATCTTGTTATTTATCAATCACATAAAATTAATTTGGTAAGCCTAGTTTTTCTTAAAATTAAAAATTAAAGTTTAAAGTTAAAATATTAATTCCCATTATATGTGCTCACTGCTCACGTGGTTATGCGTTTTTAAATTTTAAACTTAACAACCTGTTTACTGATAGCATATCCAACCGCTAAATAATTAATTGGTCATAATTATTGGTTATCTCAATATTTAAAATAATACAAAAAAAATATTTTTTTAAGTAAATAATTAAAAAATTAAGTTTTATACACAGTTAACATCAGAATAATCTGTATTATTGGTAGGTAACCGTAAAACAACGATTGTCTAAAACTAGATTTAAAAAAATCTACAAATTAAAGCCATATTCATTAATAAAGAACATACATTAATTAAAAAAATGTTGGAGATCAATTTATATTTTATAATATGTCAATATAATGGGATAAAAAAATATTATTGAAATATTATGTAGTACATCAAAAATAATTGACAATTATGTTGATACAACTTGTGATAAATTAGTACCATAATATTTTGTCTTTTAATAATATACAAAAAATAAAACCAATACCATGTAATAATACCTATTAGGTAGTCGTATATTTAATTTATAATTTTGAAAGTATTGCATACTAATCAGTTCATGTAAATTTTAACTAACTTAATATAATAATCTAATTTGTATTACTTAATGTAAGCCATACCCTTTATACCTTTATAGGGTGTGAGCTGTATAAATTAAAAAGGAAATTAACTTAAGATACTTAATGAAATATATTATATTGTTACTTATATCTATAGTATTTTAATATAAAACTTCCTCGTACAATTTTCGTTCGTAAATTATATCTGGCAAATTAATCTAATAGCACCATCCTTCTATCATATAAACCTACTGGGTCACTGGAATTTTACATTACAAAATGGCGGAGATTACATAAAAACTTAATGTTTTTAATACTGACCCTTTTAATAACCTAATCCTGTATAGTCTCTTGACCCATCAGCGTGTGACTAACACAAATTAGTGGTATGTACAGTTTTAAACAAAAAAAAAATGTTATATGTATTATGAAAACAGAGCTTTATGTTTCTACTCGAAAATGTCTACGCAAAGGGTATACGATTCGACGACAGTCTAAATACTGACTAACAGGTATAATTCATCGATTTTTTTTTTTTTTTTAATTTACTTACATACTTCGAATGATTTCAATAACAAATTAAATTTAATATTATTAGTACAGTGGAAAACTGAACAACATTATATATTATTTGGAATATTGTTGGCCCATTACATAATATAATTTACCTATACCTATAAATAATAACTATTAATTATAGCCAATAGGTATAGGTTGGTACATGTTAGTTTTATATTACTATTTAGTCAAGTATTTCATCATTTTTTCATTTTGTATTGAATAGATTTATAAATGTGTTAGCATAACTGAGATGTACTTGATGATATTTTCCACAGAGTCATATTAGAAAAAAATTCATCGTTGTGAGAGTAATAGCTTTGTTCGTTTCACAGTTCATCTAAAACCTTTAAATTTATGGAGAACCCACTTTTAACCAAATGCATTTTAGTTATTTTATTATAATTTACAGAGTTGCAACCCTAGAGAATTAGAGTTTAGACTTTTTATATATATTTAGTAGAATTTTATAAAATATCTAAGCTCTAAAAAAAATTGTGAAAATTACAAACATTTTATATTAATTTAAAGTTTAATAAAATTAATAAATAAATAAATGTATAAGTAGGTACACCATTTTAATTGGTAAATATAACATGATTTAATTAATTTTTTATAAGATTTATATTATTACCAGTATAAAGATTTAACTTAATATTAATTATATTGATATACATGAATTCAATGTCATTTATTATTTTCAATTCATATTCTTAAAATAATAAATATGTCCCCCAAATCTTAAGTAGGTATTTGTTTTTTTATGTATTGAGCGTGATTAAACTTGAACAATGATTATGTTACTATTTTTTTTTTTTATTGTTGCATTTTCAGCCATTGCAATTTAAGAAATGTTGTTTACCTAGTTGTGTTTATATGTTTATATATAATGATGAAATAATGAATAA